TACTGCAACAAAAAAGCCAAAGTACGACCACTCAAAGTCGGAGACTATGTACTCAAGGCCAAAACACAAGCAAGAAAAGATTCGAGAGAAGGCAAACTAGGAACCAATTGGGAAAGGCCATATAAAATCACGGCAACAACAAACTAAGGGTCATTCCAACTAGAAACAATGGAAGGAAAGCTACTACAAAACAACCGGAACGTCGCCCACCTCAAATACTTCAACTTCTGAAAATAGACGCCCTCCGCGTCGTACTCTTTTTCCCTCGTCCGGGTTTTGTACCAATTGGCGGAGAGGTTTTTAATGAAGCGATAAAGGGGACGTCTCGAAGTTCAAGTATAATTCATCGCCCCACCTATCGACTACTTCTCCAGGCCGAACGATGCAGGGACTAGATACATGGAAACTTCTCCAATACACATGGAAACTTCTCCAATATATGTATGAAACGAACAGACACATGTAATATTCTCCAACTAATGAAATAAAGCAACATTTTTACTCTCCACCAACTCTTTCCACACTTTACATTCGACCTCGCTCGAATTATTTAAACATTCGACATTGCTCAAATCACTTACATTCGACCTCGCTCGAATTACTTAAACATTCGACCTCGCTCGAATTACTTACATTCTTCCTTGCTTGAATTATTTAACATTCGACATCACTCGAATCACTTACATTCAACCTCGCTCGGATTATTTAACATTCGACCTTGCTCGAATTATTTAACATTCGACCTCGCTCGAATTACTTAAACATTCGACCTCGATCGAATTACTTACATTTGACCTCGCTCGAATTATTTTAACATTCGACATCGCTCGAATCACTTACATTCGACCTCGCTCGAATTACTTACATTCGAGCTCACTTGAATTATTTAACATTTGACCTCGCTCGAATTACTTTAACATTCGACCTCGCTCGAATCTGCAATGTTCGACCGCGTCGAACATCGATCTTATAAAAAATCAAGGACTTCCCCACATAGCAAAAAAAAAGAACATAAATAAAAAAACACGTAGCAGAAAGGGGGACTGTTCCATTATAATTGTCAAATTACAATACTTTTTACAATGGGCGCAAAGATGCCCTCACAAAAATAGCAAAGCAAAACAAAAACTATATGACGGCTTTATGCCGCGTCATCCCCATTGGCATACTCATCATCATACCAAGAATCGGAGGCGAGCCTATCCGCATCATCGTCAACAACATCCCCGCCAGGCATACCAGGGGCGTAACCACAAGCTTCACGGGCCGCACGTGCCTTAACGCGGACGCTCTCGAGTGCCGCTTCAGAAATTTTCCCGTTGGCTTTCAGATATTTATACACGTCGAGCTGAGCCTCGGCATGAACCCACATCTCATATAACTCTCGCGGCACGTAGGGATCGGCAGAAGTATGGGACGTAGACGGCTGTGATTGCCGTCGCGCCTCCTTGGCCTTTAAGGCAACGACCTGCTCGTTCAATCCGGATAACTCCGCCTCCAGATCCTAGATCTGCTCTTTTAACCTCGCCACCACGAGCGCCGATGTCTCCACCTCATACTTCCGCTCAGACCTACAAACGCGGAGGGTATCCTCTGAGGCCGCCGCTTCAGCCATAGCGGCCACTCTGCCCTTCTCAACAGTAGTCAATTCTTCGACCTTGGTGCTTAACTCGCCCCGTAGATCAATAGCTTCCGCCTCACTCTACCCAAGGTTAGCAGTTAAAGATGCCATCCGCGCTTGAAGATCGGCATTCTCAGCCATCACCCCCTTGCTCACCTCGAGCTCATCCTCCTTGGCCTTAAGAGCTGCCTCAAGCTCGCTGCATCGAACGATGGCTTTCCTTAGCTCATCATCCCGCTCCTTTAGCTCCTCAACTTTCCTCACCAACTCCTCATCCTTCTATTTAAGACCGTCATGAAACAGCTGAAACTCGCTATCTTGGTTAAAGACGTCGGCCAGCGTTCGCTGCTTAGTACGGTACTCTTTGTACTTAGAGGTCACCTTCTTAAAAATGGCCGTCCTCCGCTCCTCCCGCTGGTCGCGCTCGATCCCCATGATAAAAGTCTGACATGCAAAAGAATGAAGTCAGTATGAGCAAATTACGTATGCGAAACAAATCCTAACATTAAAAAGCACTTACTCGCAAAGCCATGCCAGATATACTCAGCGATAACTCCGCATCACTCATCGTCTCTAGCGCCGTGTTCCCAGAAGCTGCGCACAAGGGGGCAAAGGACGGCACCGCCCGTTCAGAGTTATCCAAAAGGTCATAACCCATAGGAATGATTACATGCTGTTTAGGACCCTCCGTCCTTACCTCCACGCGAGTATTCCTCTCCAAGAAGGCCCGTACCTCTTCAGGATCGATATCCTAGCCAGAACCGTCGTTCCCCATAGGTATCGCTCTATCTCTCCCAGCCGTCGATGACGCGCCACCATCTGCGGTCCTTACAAGCTCCCCGCCATCATGCACCCCCTCGGCCCCAGAGGTCCTCCTTTCCGCATTGGTATCCGCCGTAAATATGGCCCCTACGTCTGGTGTAAGTGCAGACGCCGCTTCCGGAGCAATGAGCTTCTCCGGTTCAATACCAGTGGCGACAGACTTCTCGAGCTCCATCCTTCGCCTTTTTCTCGATGGTGACTCCTCTCCATTAGACGACTCGTCTACAAGGTGATAGATAGGCCGGAAAGAGATCTCATCTCGCACAGGAACAGTCAGAGGGGCGGAATCTCTCATCGATGGAGCTTGAGTACGACCTCCGCGAACGGACTCGGCCAAAGCAAACTGCATCCCAGCCGATGCGATAGCTTGGCGAAATGCTGGCACTGAAGCCTTCTTCTTAGAGACTCGTCGACCTAGCACCAAAAAGAGGTCGCGTCAACGGGCAATGGTAAACATGGGAAAGCTGAAGCAAAATAATACTTACTAGACGGGACCTTAGGTCCAAAATGCTTGTGGAAAGCCGCCCAATCACGAATCCCCACCATGTGAGGCAACACGCGAGTCACCCAATCTTCAATATCGAAGATAGGAGAGGGTGCACGCCTTTCAGCTGAAACACAAAGAAACCACAAGTGAGCTGAAAACGGAAGGACGACAGAAGACAACGAGCATACGATAAAGACAATTATGATTATGATTCCACTGCTCGGAAAACCCAGTCAGGTCTGCCACTAAGTGCTCGGTCTTGATAAAGAAATACTTATGCCAGAACTTCCGATTCATTCTGTCATCCATTCCGACTACCAGTCCTTTGGTCCCCCGATGCCGTAGGTGTATCATAGTACCTCTATAAAAACTTGGTGAAAATAAATGAAGCAGGTGGCGAGTATCAACCTCACAACCAACCAACTCTGTGTACTTCGTCAGCATAAAAAAAGCTTCATACAAGTAAGGAGAGAGTTGGGTCGGGTAGACGTTGTAAAACCAGCAAAATTCCTCCGCTAGCGGAAGAAGAGGAAGAGTATAGCCAATCAAGAACGGGTAGACATAGAAGGCACAATACCCGGGTTGGTGGACCTCCATGATGTCGCCATCAGCTGGAACTATCTCGACATGGGGAGGGATGCGGTATTTTGACCGAAGGTCGGCTATATGAGGTGGTCCAGTCTCGGAGATTACCTGAGCAGGAGCGGGAGCAGCTCCTCGGGAAAATCATTTCTAGCTAAGGGGTTTCTGGGAACTATCTCCTCCACTGTAGGGAAGCTATCTTCCTCTTCAGCCATAAATTCCTCACCGCCGGGAGGAAGAGCCACTGATAAGTAGCATCGGAAACTTCATCATGAATGTGAAAAGGTTGTGAAATATTTCGACAATAAAACGTGTTCTACCAAGCCCGAAGAAGAAGATGATAACTGGGTAAAGAAGAGGAATGGAATCGGAGAAGAAAAATCAGGAGTAGAAATTGGGGAAGAAGATCAAAGGAGAATAGTACTCATACAAAGTGAAGGATGGTGAAAACTCCCGAAAAATGAAACCCCCATCTATTTATAGGGCTGGGTGGCGTGAGAATCGAAGCAAATGATTGTCAATGGCACCAAAACCAAAGCGGCAGGCACACAGACGCTGTCTCGGGAAAATGCGTAATGATGACGCGCATGGCCATGACATCACCCCACGACAGCCACACCAACCACAACTTTGCTGGTTGCGTCATTCTCTACACCTCGACTGACCCAACTTATTCAACACAACCAAATTTCTCCTAAATGGAAGCGAATCAGGTCCGCTTATCGAGGGCGAGCAAGACCACGACCTCAACAAGCAGAGGGACTAACTGTATTGGTCTAAATTTGGCGACTTGGTAGTAAGTAGATAAACAGGACCAAAGACGGTGTCGACCTCGGTGTAATAGCAGAAGCCGTTCTAGAGAGGGCTGATGTCAAGGACGAGCAACTAAAGTGAAGGAATAACGGTAGGATAGGTTCAGATATGGACACAAGGAATATTCCTTTGGATATTCCTTGTTTTGTACTTTTAAGGGTTTCTGGAAAATATCCCTTATAATTAGGAAGAGATAGAGAACAAATGGGGGGATCTTCACTTTCTGAGAAAAACACATTGTAAAAGGTTGACTTTGAGAGAATATACAAAAGCTGTCTTGTTCATTGATTGTCTTATCCAAGCAGACGTTATTTATTCTTTGTTCATAAGATCCTAAGATTCCATAACCATCTTTACTTCTCTTCTTTCCACGTCACTGTCAGGACCAAGAACCATCCAAGTTTTACAATAATCTGGTGTAGATTCTTTCTTATTATCTTCATTGCCATTATCTACATTTATTTCATATTTATGTTACCGCATTTATGAGCATTTATTGAGTGTGAACATACTGATTAACGTTGTTCTTCTCATTGACTTCACATAATATTTGGTCTAGATTTTATTATTTTTTAACTAAGATTCATCCTTCATCTCATCATTAATTGATTTAACTAAAAGGCTCAATACTTTTTGGTCAAACAAGAGAGGATCGCTTGATCAAAAAAGGGATTCAAAAGAGGGGAAGCCAGCTTTATTCTCTGGTGAGATTTTCTTAGCTTTTTACTGGCTCATTTGTTCGATTGGATCCGTTGTCGACAGTAAATTTGTTCCGATCGTTCCTCCATTCTGCTAAGCTTTTGGCTGCCTCCATCGGGCTACTTTTTATTTTTTGTAAATGTCATCATAAGGGTTTGTGCCAGATTTAAGTAAAACCTTCCCGTTGTGTGTTAATCTGTGGGGTATTGATGGTTTTTATTTATTCCATATATATAATCATACGGTCCCGTTGAGAGCCAAGATTAATGTTCCGTTATCTTGAGCTCACTATTTTAGAAGAATCCATTGTGTTTAGTTCCTTTTGTGATTTGAGGGTGGAAAGCTCTAACCTTTTTCATAGGTGTTGTAGGTTATTTATTCTTGAGAAGAGACTCCTCCCAACTAATTTCAAGAAAAAAATGGCCAAAGATAGTATTTTTGATGTTAAGAGTTTATGTTTGATATTAAATTTCTTAGCTTTAGTTGGATTGTGACACCTTTGTCTTACAGAACGATTTATTATTTTTGTTGCGTTGGCTAATGTTTCTTTATTTAAATGTGTTTGAACATTATTTATTACCAATGAAAAAGAAAAATTGATTAGCTAAAGATATGATTTTTAATGTTAGAATATGTCTAAGAAAGTAAAAATCTTAGCTTTAGTTGGATTGTGACACCTTTGTCCTATAAGACGATTTACAATTGGAAAAGGCTAGACTTTTCACTCAATTAGGGCAAGAATTCTTCAAAAGAGGATTGCTTTTCTCAGTGTTTTATGGACTCGGTTGATTGATTGAATCCTTAGTCGACAATCTGCTAAGCTTTTTGCTGCCTTCACCAGCTACTTTTTTTCCTTTTCCTTGGTTTGCAACTTTTGATCTGAGAGTGCCTGCCAGTTAGTTTTAACCAGTGAATGTATATTTACAGTTTTTATGCATGTCCAGATATGTATTGAGAGTCAATATTTCTTTTCTTTCTTTTGTGGGTGTGATCTAATTATTAATGTCCATTATCCTGAGGTCATTATTTTAGAAGAATCCACTGTGTTTAGTTTCCTCTTGTAATTTGAGAGTGGAAAGATATAACCTTTTTTCACAGGTGTTGTAGATTATTTATTCCCGAGAAGAAACTCCTCACAATTAAGCATCATGACAAGTAAGTTTTCCTAAATTCATGTGATGCCACCTTACTCTTAATGGTTTATGGACATTTATAATCACTGCAAAATCTTGCGTCATAAAAAAAACAATTGTGAATTACTGATCTAAGATGCGATTTACCCTATCTCTGACTAGGATTTATACATTACGATGATATTAAAGAGTAAGGGGAAAAGTTATCTTTTTTCCTAAAAATTTTCTATAAACAAAATTCTTTCTCGTAAAAATTCCCTTTCCTTTCTAACTTAGAAAGTATAGTTGCTTTCTCTTCCCGAACCTTTGGCAAGCCGTCTTGTCTGTTTATTGGATTAATATCTGATAGCTTTTCCTTCTCCCCAACCTCTGTCATGTCTCTCTATTTTGAGTTCTCACTCTCACTTTTTAGGCTTCACGTACCTCTTAGAGAAGATCGGTAAAAACTTACCTGCACCGGGTGTTTATACCAAACCAATAGATATATGACATGTGTCTTGCATATGGACTTCAATCATTTAACCATGGTAAATTACACGCATTCTCATCTAATTAAATTAATTAACCATAATAAATTAATATAGTTTGGTGTAAACACCCGGTGTGGGTAAGTATTTACCGAGAAGATCAGTCTTTACTTCAAAGAAGGGCCTTGACTTAAATTTACTTCAGAAAAGAAGAGGAGTAGGTAGAACACTTTTTAACTTGTTCACATTAAAAAGGGGAAAAGAAAAAAGAATGAATATATTGCTCAAAGCTTTTCTGGACTAAAGAAAACCCAATAATTACAGGTGAGAGGTTGAAGAATATAGTTGGGTCTTAGAGAGCACTAATTCTGAATCAACGTCTCTGTATATTAGGCTTGAATCCAACATTTGGACCTTAAATTAAACCCTTTATGGGGCTCCAGGCATAATGAGGCTAATGGCCCTAGTGAATTGAATTTTTTGCTCAGGTGGGCAAGCTGAGCATGCATTTTGTTAAAAGATTGAAAAGTATGTTGTCGCTGAACTTCTCGTTTCGTTAGTACGTACTTTTGTATTTCAATTCATCTGCTTCAAGAATTCTTGCCTGCACTCATCTTGTCATCATGATACCAGTACTCAATCGCATTGCCTGTGGGTTGAAGACTATATCAAAGCCTATATCTAGTGGGTTGAACCACAAATTCCAACAATCCATCGTCCGAATGGCTTAGGTATATGAATTATTTGGTATTTAGGCTGAATTTTGAAAAGGAATTTTGAAATATATTCTACCTCTGATTATAAAGTTTTTAATACATCAGTGAATCAGCAATTCTACTCTCTTTTTGGATATGCAAACTAACAACACTTGATATTTTCTTTGTGTGGAATATTTCAAAGAAAGCAAGCTAGAAAGATGGCCAAAGTTGGTCATGTTGACAAGGAGGAGCCCTGGACTCGAACTGTATTCTTTAGCATCAAGCTGCCAATATTTTCTTTTTCTAGAATGCCATTGAATTTATTCATTTTACCATTTTTCTTTATTTAGATTGTAGGTTTTGCATCAATCTATGAATATATACAACGTATAGAGTATCACAAGGACCTGATGGCCATACCGGAGGGATGCAAAGGTAAAGCAAGAACTCTGATCTTTTGCATCTCCAGCTTATGCTTCGTTAGAGATGGATCATGTTGGAAAGCACATGTTACTTTGATATCTAAGTTTCATAATTGTGGCAGGGAGTGGAAGAAAATGATGTTCGATTCAAGTGGTACTAGTCATCGTTTCAGGGGCGGAGCCATGCACCTCAAATAAGACGCCCAAATTGATGCCAACTTGAAGTAACGATTCATAGAATCTCAACTTTAGAAGTGATTAATATATGCATTATTGTACGTTGGATCATGCTGAATTAAGTTATTCTAATAAAAAATTAATTATGTATATGTTATTTTTAAAGTTCTCATTAGTTGAGCAGCTTCACTTCTTGATTTTCTTCTTTAAGTCATGTTTTTTTCCCTTTCTTCTTTTTGCGCTTTTCTTTGTGTATCTTTTAGCAGTATCATTTGCATAACTCATTTTTCAATGGTACACTTTCCAAAATCCCAATCTTTGGAGCTTGATTATTAATTCAATTTTCCTTCTGTCCTTTATTCATTTAATTTTTGAAATTGTATAACGATGACGAAATCTATATTAAGGAAGATCTTTAACAATTCAAAACCTCAAAAGTCACCTCTAACACACTTTTCCCCAAGTAAGATCTTTAACAATTCATGTGAGGCTTGATTACATAATTTTCTCTACTTCTTTCCATCTTCAATTCTTGAATCCTTTTCCTTTAGCAAGGCTCCCCCATCTTGCAGGCTTTCTTGGCCTCTGACATTTTTTTTTTTTGTATCTTCTCCTTCATTCCCGAAAACAAAATTAGAGCAAATATTAGATTTAATGCCTTTTATTTTACCACAGTTTTCTATTTTTTACTTTTAGCTTGATATCCATCACATTTAGCATATTTGATTTTCTTTTCTCTAGTTTCTCATCCATTATTCTCTCACAATCTTCCTGCATAATCACTCTATCTTCGTCTATCTCCTGACTGCATTCTGAATTGCTTTCTAGGCTGACCAAGTGAGCACTAAAAGCATCAGTATTCTTTTTATTAAAGGTAATAAATAGGTCTTTGTGACTAAATGCTATTTTTCAATTATGACTGAATCCTAAATTTTAAATCATCTCAATAGGGACGAAGAATACACGTATCGAAAACACCAGTCCCTCAGCTACGGCTTCAGCAACTTTATGTATTGCTTGATTTTCATAAAGTTTGGCAAAAAATTCAAGATTGGTGACATATTCGCTACCGATCTGATTCTCCACCTTCTTGTCCATTTTTGATGCAGCCTTGTTATGCTCCTGAAAATAGAAAAAATACAGCTGAATCGATTCCAATTTTATTTACGTCTTTGATACTGTCAACGTAAGCGGTTCCCTTAGAACATGGAGGTTGAAGTAGGGTTTTGATGAACATAAAAGAGAGAGAAAGTCGTGCACTGAATTGAAAAGTATTTGGAAAGAATGAGAAGTCAAAAACTTCTTTGCAAGGATGACCTATAACTATTTATACAACAACTAGCTATCTACACAAAATGGCAAACTGTGTGAAGTATTAGCTATACACTAAATTTAGTGCATCAGCATAAAACATGAATTGAATTGACTCGTGGCCTAAAGCCAAATTTGGTTTTTCTTTTTTTGCCTGTTATGGAGTTATCTTATGAAATATAATATTTATATTCACATTGGTAAGAAATTCAAGTTAATAAGATGTTAGCCATGTATTTACAATTTGTTACCTTGGATCTTATTGTAATAAACGTTATTTATCAATATGAAGATGTGAGTATCTTAATTCAAAGTTCTAAAATATTTTTATTGTTGAAAAATAGATAGTTTTTTTTTATAAGGATTTTGTATTTTTTTTCTTTTTTCTATAAACTTCTAAGCGAAAATAAGATTGTAAATCTACAACTAAAAATATATTTTGGGCCCCAAAATTTAGGGGGCCTAAAACTAACCTCCCCTTGAGCCACCCCCGTAAATCATAAAAATGAAGCTTGTAAGGATAGAGAAGGCACTTCCTTTAGTAGCAAGCGAGTCCAAGTGACTCTAGAAAAATCATCCACAATAGTTAAGAAGTACATATTCCCCCCCCCCCCCCCCAACCCCAACCCG